GGCTGGCTGCTGTGATGGCAGGCTCTCCTGACAGCACAACACCACTGGATGATCTCTACTCTACAATCCTTTCAGTGCTTCCATACGAGCCTCTCACACTCCGCATCTTACATGCTGCACTTTGTTCTCAGTCAAAGGCATGGACCCCAGAGGAATGTGACTTGCTCCTTGGTATTGTCCCTGGCAAAGCACGGCTCATCTTGAGCGGTCTGCACTCTATCTTGCATATCCCACAGCTCTTCACTCCATGGCTGCAATCTATGAGTTCGATATGCTCCCAGCATGCCTCATTTACCGATTATCTTGGTGATGAACGGCGTTCAAGAAAATGGTGCATTCAATTACCTTGGCTGAAACGAGACTTCCTCGAAAGCATCCTGCAATTCATATGCAATCCTGATTTCACTCATCGCCAATACATCCTCAGGTGAGTACACATCATCAAATTCAACTTATTAATTGCAAATAAACTTCAATCCTCTCAGTTTGGGAATACAAACTGTGGAAGAACTACTGCCATTGGTACCCCTAGACAATGGCTTGCTTGACCTCCTACGTCAACCCCTTTTTGAAAATGCACTTTACTTGGTATTCCACCGCCCAGATGCATGGCCAAAGGTACATTTTACTCGGCATTGGACCATGAATCTGACTGGAGTCATAGAAAGACACAAGACTTCCACCTGACCTCATTGAAATTTGGGAAGAGCAGAATTGGGTCGTCACATTTGTCCGGGATTTCGATCTTCATAGAAGCAGCACTGATGAAGAAGCAAGCACTCCTTGCGAGCAGTTTGACCCACTGTATACAGCAATTTTGACTGAAAACCCTGGTGTACTCCGGTGTCTATGGATTACTTTGTTTTACTTTGAAAATGAAAATATCTTCATTTGTGAATGGCTGCGTGAATACCTGAAACCTTGGGGGCTCACTTGCCGAGATCTCAAGCCCCTTCTGGGTCTCCGCAAACTAGGGGGTTCTCCTGCCCGGCATGCAGCTGCAATCAAAGATTTTCTCAGTGATAGCAAAAGAGCTAAGGACCTACACGTACCTCTGGAGGTAATTTGTGAACAGTGGATGCTCAAATGGATTACATTTGTGAAACAACCTCTGGATAATGAAGGTGAACGATTGTTTTGCCTCGGGTGAGTCTCAGTCCTCTTCCACTCCATTCTGGGACCCTCAAATATTGGGGCTCATAGCAGGGGACTGCTGTTGATTGGAAAGTGCACCAAAACACCAAGTGTTCTTCGAGGCCTGGGGACCGTTGACCTGACATCGATGTGCCGAGAGGCAGATATAGATCTGGATGCACACAGCGAGATTCATAAATGTGAAATTATTCGACCAATTTATTTTCGGGATGTTTTGACTTGGATTTCGGTGAGTCACCGCTAGAATCCGGCGACAAGGCTGATCATTCTTGCGTAGAAATTCCCTGATGATCCTGCCAAGTCAACAGTGATGGATCACTGGAGGTGGCAGTTGTGGGATGTTGAACGCTGTCTGGAGCGATGTTGTCGCAAGCATCCTGACATCCAAGCCTAATACTTTCCGTTGGTAGCGGCGACAAGCGCCGGTCCCGTACTCTCTTACTTTTGCATTTGCATATCAGTCCTGGGTATATTTGTGTCAGGTTTTGGATATTTGTCTCGTGAATGATATTATTATAATATTCTGAGTATCATTTTTGAGGTTTATGGCATGATTTCAGCATAGAAAGTTCGTGCACATAGTACTCACACCTGCCATAATTCTCAAAAAGTCTACACCACCAATGTCGTCGGCCCCTACTTCATGGCCACCGCCTTTTTCCCGCTCCTACAGAAGGCCACCGAGCGGCAACACGGCGACTCCGCCACCATCATCAATATCACCGTCTCCATCAGCGGCCTCGTCAGGATCTCCCAAGCAAGGCCATTTCTCGTACAACGCAAGCAAGGGCGCCTTCGTGCACCTCAACCGCATGCTCGCCGCCGAGGTCGCCAACGCGGTCTAAAGATCCGCATCAATGGGATCGCCCCCGGTGTTTCCCGTCCGAGATGACGACGCAGGAGAGCGGCGCAGATCAACCGTCGTGGATGCCGAAGGAACGCAAGGGCGCGCTGCTGCAGGGAGGCCGGGAAACGACAGGGATATGGCGGCTGCCATACTCTTTGCCGCGAGCTGCCAGTATCTGGACTGCCAAAATATCCCCGTGGATGGTGGATATCTGATTCAGGTCGGACAGTAGGTGCTTGCGTAGTGTTGACCAAAGACAGCGTGGCGAATTGCACGGCAGATAAATCCTTGAGCAGCGAGCAGCATCATGATTCATTCCCGTGCACCGTGATAAGCACGAGCGCGTTCGGAAGGTCGACGGCGACGGCCTCGACGCACATCCACCTCGGGACCGAACGCTAACGGACCGATGATCCGCTCACGTGCGTGACGCCATCACAAAACCTGCCTCTCCATTCCCACCAGTGCATCTGACAATGCTGATATCAAGGGTTTGGGCTCGGCCGTTGAAGTACAACCACCTTGATAGCTGATATCAGTCTTGTTGGGTGTGGTGCACACTGCAAATTCGAGGTAGCTCCCGTGCGTCCACGAGTATTTTTCTTGCCGAGCGAGTCATTCAATTGCAACGTTCAACGTCAACGTTAAACGCTCTGTGCTCGTTCTTCGCGAACTGAAACTGGGATAAATGGCCAGCTACAGTAATAGCAACAAACCATTGGAGTCCCAAATTCACGCTATCAGGTCGTCGCCTTGTTGCGTGGCCTTTTTCGTGATATTTTGCCGCCCACAGCCTTCTTTCCTTCGTCATAGATCCACTCCACGCCAAACATTATATAACGCTCCAAGCTATGGAGCTCTTACCCTTCTCCCGTGCTGGCTACATATTCATCGTTCCGGTAACGTTGAATCAATCCCTCGAGCTATAAATCTCAGCAGACTGATCACCATCTCCACCCCACCCTCCACATTGCCGCGATGCAAAAGCCCTTTGTTGCTGCTTTTTTGCTTTCGTGTTACGGCGCAACGGCGCGCCAATTTACGGTCAAGAACAACTGCCAGTACACCGTGTGGTGCGTACGTCTTGCGCGATCTGCACTCCAGTGCGCTTATGTGCGTTCCAGGCCAGCGGTACGAGTGAATGCCTTGTCCAGATTTAACTGCAAACTCGTGCTCGTTGCCTTTACAGATATGATATATTCACCGACCTGAATGCCGGTAAAAGCACACCAGATCAACCTACGGGGTCACGGTACGCCCCAGTCCTCTTTCTCCAGCGGAATATCGTTGATCTGGATTAAAACAGATGGAAAGCTGCGGCAGGCAGCCCTACCGGGCCCTTTAATGTCCCTGACGGCGAGCTTTTCTCTACCATATTGCCTCCCTGCCTGATCATGACTTGAACACTGACAGACTGGGCCGCCGGCCGTATCTAGGTACGCAGTGTATTGCAGCGACAGAACTGCAACGATAATCCGAATATTAACAGGGGCGGCGCGATTGTGATTTCAGCAAGCCAGATACGACCTCGTGCGCCACCGGCTCATGCAACGGCGGCCTGCTCTGCGCTGCGACCGGCGGCACGGCGCGTCCCCGCTCCATTTGCATGGGTATCCAGCAGCGCTGATGCCGCCGATGATTTCAGGGTATCCCGCCCGTAACGGTCGCCGAGTGGACACTAGGAACAAACGGGCAGCCGGACAACTATGACGGCACGTATTATACGCTTCCCCGCCTAGAGAGCTGTCGGGGCCGCTCGTACAACGTACTGATTTCCTCTTAACCGCAGTATCCCTCGTGGACGGCTTCAACATCCCGATGTCGGTCGTCCCCACCGGTGGCTGCCCCGAGGCGTCCTGCCCGGCCGACCTAAATCCAAACTGTGCGTGTCCCCACTGCGGCCGCGATGAGTGTAACTTGCACTCATCCCGCATATTCAGGCCCCGGTCCCCTGCAGCTCCAAGGCCCAGACGGCATCGACGGCTGCAAGTCCGCGTGCTCCGCGAACCTCGACGGCAATCCAGGTACCGTCTTCTGTTTTCGGATTCGGCCGGTGCGCCGCGCGGCGCCCGCTAACTTCCCCTTCAACCGTGCAGGTGACTCGCCGAACTGCTGCACGGGCTCACACAAAGTCCCAGCGACTTGCCCGCCGAGCGGTGTCCAGGACTACAGCTATTTCAGTGCGTCTTGGCTGGGTCTGCGTTCCGCGCTGCGACTGACGAGCGTGCACTGGCAGAGACACCGTGCCCCAACTCGTACGCGTATGCGTACGACGAGTCGTCCCAGACGACGCTGTGGAAATGCGATTCGGCCCTCATGGCGGACTATGTGTTGACTTTCTGCCCTTAGAAAAAGGGAGAGGTCTGGTGCCTGTTGTCCTGCACTTTCAGTACGAACTTGGAATTATGTTCCAATTAAGATCATGGACATTTTCAACAGTTCGACAGTAGTGTGGACTGCACTTTTTAAGTTAAAGCATCGAAGGGTCAGGGCGGCCGCTCTTTTGCCGTGCCGCGGTGGTCCGTCGGCGCGGAATATTGTCTCAAGGGTGTGTTCCGGACCGTAAACTTGAACGACTTAATCAGTCATGCGAAGAGAGCGGGACAGAAAAAAGTTCCAGCTGTAAGAATATCTTAGACGTGAAGAGGCATTGCATAATATGGCGGCCAGCCTGATGTAGCAATGCTTTCTTCAGTGCATGGCGACCTTGAGCAACATGGTAAATCGTTGCCAGGCATGGGAAAGCAGAACGACTGGGCTGAAACAAGGAATTGATCTAGCGTTTCGAGAGATTCAGACTCTGGAAAAATCGACAATATATCAGAAAACTCCAAAAATTGTGATTTTGCACAAAATAAAATAATCTGTTTACTTTTGCTTCGGTTTCTAGACAGTCCGACTAACAACTTCAATTGAACAATGACAGATACCCGATTGGTTATATACTTCCTCTTCTTCCATCAGAGATAATTTTCGGGAGGGCTTGTAGGTTTATATTGGCCGCCTGGCGAAATGGCATCGCGTCTGACTACGATATCTGGCAGTGCAGACAACTAATGTAATCAGGAGATTGCAGGTTCGACCCCTGCGGTGGTCATGTTGGGTTTCACCATCTTTTTAATTTCTTGTTAGAGTAATTGCATCATTCATAATTCCTAGCCCTTATCATTTATATCCAGAGTTTAATGAATCTCGAATTCAGCCTACAAAAATGCCGTCCCGCTCACGTGTCATTGCGTGCGATATGACACAGTTTAAAATGGTTTAGTCAATTGACGACATACGTCGCGGCTTCCGCGGGCCAGTTCGATGTAGCCTGGGTGGAACGTCGTGAAACAAGGGCTGGAGGTTATATACTAGGTCGGTTACTGAGTGGTTTCGATCGGACCGGGGACTTGTTGAATCCAGGAACTATGATTATGCAGTACTGAGTCTAACGCTAGGTAATGAAACGACAAGACGAGTCGGGAGTTCCGAATATTTATCTGCTTTTAGCGTAGATATGCATAGCCATCCCCAGGTACGACCGGATCCAGACTATAATTATGTCGCAGTCGGATCAAGTAGATCATCGTCAGATGCGAAACCTGACGAATGATTGCCTAACGTTACTATACATTCGCCGCGGCCGACTCGAGGTAAGATAGCTTGCCGACGGCGCCGGCGTACCATGTATAGTTGGGCATCTATATGCGCGTCACGCGCTTTCGAGATGTCGTCCCGAGATCCGGCACCAGCAAGACAGGGGCACCTCGAGGGATGCACATGATTAGATATGCCCTCCATCAGGATCATGAAGATGTACGCATGATGCAGGACTCGAACTGTCGTTTCATAGTGACTGCTTGTCATTGCCAGTGCGAGACAATGATTGTCCGGCCAGTTGGCGGTGGCGGTAGGACGCAGAAGAAGGGGGGGAAGTCTGTTTAAGCGTTTGACGGCCGCGGCGTACCCTCAGAATAGCCTGAAATTTTTCAGCGTCGTGTGTGGCAACGACACTAGCCAGATGAAGCGCGCGGTGCAGCACGCGAGGCGCTTGGGCGATCGTCCATCAGTGACCAGAGACCCCGCATGGACTTGGCTTGGAACGTCCTTCCCGTCGCAGCGCAAGAATTGGGAGTATCAGATAGGCACGGTGGCAGCCGTTCAAGTTGGTTGGAACTCGGCGGTCTCCGCGGCGACAGTCACCGCCCAGAAATAGCGCGAAAATTTTCTTGATCAGCCATACGACATTTATCAGAGAACTGATGATGGAAGTAACGTACCCGCAATGAACTCAGAGAACATACGTAAGCGGGACAGCAGAGGAAACGCGATCGACCATCGATGTGATACGTCCAGACTTGAGAGCTGGGACATGTCTGTGAGACTGAAAGTCATAGAAACTGTGAATGCTGGGTTGTATCATGATATCGACGGTAGAAGCTGATAACCTTCCCGAGATATGTTTCATTGACGAACGGTACGTACATGCATAACCCATGTTCAGTCTAGGGGTCGGAACAGTGCGGCCTGAGAATGGCGTCGTTAACTTGAAAGATATATACTATATCAGGATTAGAAGTGGAGTTGGCCATACTAGTGTTGGAGAAATCAATGCAGGTCCTGGATGTGGAGTAGCTCGAGAAAATTGCAGGAGCGCTGCGAGTCGCTCTAAGCCAGGGAGAGCGTCGATAACTGGGATCAGCCTGTCGGACAACTTGAAGAGGAGCGAGGGAGAAACGACGGCGGTTGGAGGTGGAGCGGAACACTAGAAAGACAACTCGACATATACTGGGTAATAGAGGTGCGAAGAGGAAGCGAGAGACAGAAGATGAACAGTACATAAGTTGGGTAGAACCGAGACGTTGGCAATCATCAAGATAAACATCTCAAACAAAAGCCGCTTGTTCGCAAAGTGACTGAGCATATGTACATAACCTGAGACGGTGGAGAGAAGACGCCGATTCCGAAAGACTTGCCGGGGTTTCAGTGGAGAAAAACCAACTGAGGCTCCGTCCCAGCGGGGTCCAGGAAATTCCGCGTAGATCGAGCCGACAAAGCAGTGGCACTGTCTGGCAGACAGATGGAGCGTCCCGTTGAACCCCGAGGAAGAGAACCGCCAGCTCGAGACAGCCGATTACGAGTGGAGAGCGGAGATACATGCTGCGTCCTCCGAGTCCGCGAAACCCGCACTAAAAGTGCATAATTGAATTGCAATTGCGGTGTCAACATTGCTATTGGGCTGTACACTAGCGCGCACCGCGCAAGCGCCTTGTCTGCGGTTGCTAGTCGCCAGCAACGTTGTGTCAGTGTATTCCTCGGCGAGACAACTGTCGCTGGCTGACCGATGTGAGCGAGCCGAGGCTGTCGGTTTCGGTTGTCAAACACAAGCGCTAGCGGCGACGGAACAGTTATCTGATATTCGAATGCCTTCGAATGCTCGGCGCGGACCGCAAGTTTCGAGAGATGCGGATCAGGGTTTTCCGCTGGAGACCGGAGACCGACGTGCAGAGACAGGCCTAGGTCCGGAGTACTATTATCTGTACCAGGGCTGACGGTGCTTAATGTTATCAGCTTCGGCGATGAGCTATCATATCATATCGCGCGGGTGCTCGATCAAAATTCCAGAACTATCCAGCACACACGAAGAGCTTGCCCAGTCGCGGCTTCACAGACCAGCAGCCTATGCCAGAGAGTCATGCGGGGGTGGGAGTGTGTGAGCCTCGTGGTTGAATGCGGAATGTGTATTCGCGTGTGCGAATGGAAGGTTATTTGTCAGTTGGCTCGGTGGAGGAGAGTCATTGATGAGACGCAGATTTTTATATCGGTGAAACTGATCTGACCGCAGCGTTGAGATGAGAACACGGATGGAAGGAGGCGGGGGAGGAGGATATATGAGCTTGGTGGGTTCTGCCGCGGCCAGGAGCCTGCGACGGCGGGCAACTTGCGGCGGAGGTGGCGATGGCAGGCACTGCGGATGCCAGCACCAGGGGCTGATTTGGTCTGATTAGGCAGGCCCATCGGCATCAGCTATCTAATCACCAATGCGCCGCCTGCGATTGGCTGATGTTATCTTAGATAAACCTATCATCACTTGTCCTTTTTTTCCGCCAAGCTACTTACGCACACGAACGCCGCCAGCGACGACAACACCCATGACGAGCACGGTCCTCGACGTCCATCACGCCCCCGCCCTCAGGATGATCAACACCTACCACCGCCCCGACAGCCCCGACGCGCCGCCGGCGGTGAACGGGAGCCGTGACTCCGTCAACAGCCACCACGGCGGCGGAGCCACTCGGAAATCCAGCAGCCCGCCCAACGGCGCCAGCGGCAACGGCGGCGGCGAGTTCTCGACGTTCGCGGCGAACGGGAACGGGAACGGGATCGCGGCGGCGAGCGCGGCGCGCACGCCGTGCATCAACTGTGGCACGCTCGACACGCCGCTGTGGCGCCGGACCCAGGAGGGGAACCCCATCTGCAACGCCTGCGGTGAGTGTGGCGTGTCCATGCCCTTTCTGTCTTGTGTCGTCTGTCGTCGATTCGACTCGATTCTGCGGGTCCTGGTCCTGGGCTGCGTCTATCGATGGGGTGGCATTGGCGGCGACACTGGGAACTTGGAAGCTGCAGGATGGATGGGGGGTGCGAGCCCTCGATCACCAGAAAGCAAAGCTTCCGGGCACGATGCTCTCATGCCGCATCCAGCACGCATCGATTGCTCGCAATGCCTGCTCCTCCTTGTGACTGCGCCCCGTGTTGTTCCTGTCCCACCATCCATCTTCCGTCTTGTTCCCCCTCCATACATACATCGCCAGTCCTCTCGGGCCAGCTGCCATCTTCCTCCTCCCTCGCCTAGATTTCTTTTGCTTTATTATCTCTTGCACATAAAATGGCCTCGCTGACGCGCCCCCCGCACTCGCACGCACACACAGGCCTCTACCAAAAATCGCGCAACCAGCCGCGCCCTGCGTCCCTCTCGCCTTCCAGTCACTCGCACCCCGGCCCCGCTTCCTTGCCGGGACCTGGACCCGCATCCAATTCCTCCTCGCCTGCTCACGCCCACCCAAATCCCGCCAGTGGCACCCCTGTCACATCCGCCGCAAATGTCCACGCAGGCGGGGGGACGTGCCCCGGCGACGGGCGGTGCGACGGCACCGGCGGGACAAGCGCGTGCAGCGGCTGCCCGACGTGGAATAATCGCATCGCGTCCGCCAACGCTTCTGCTGCCTCCACCACCCACAACAACTCCGCTTCGAGTCCCAGCGCTGCACAGACTGCCAGTGGAAGTGAAAGTGGAAGTGGAAGTGGGAATGCTACAGGGGGCGGGGACGAGCCGGCGTCGATGCGACAGCGGCAGATCCTCAATCCGACGCCGCCCCCTGGGACGACCTCAAACGGGAATGGGAACGGGAACGCGGTCGGCGCCATCCGCAACCTCGTGAGCCCAGGGCTTGCACCCGCGCCCGTCGCGTGAGTCGTCTCTCTCCCGCGTTTTTGAGTGTACTGATGGCGTTGTGCCGCAGGCCCCCCGCCACGCCCGCGCCCGCTTCCACGCCTGCGCCTGCGCCCGCGTCCTCGCCCACTGCTACGCCTGCCGCCGCCGCAGCTGAAGTCACGGTGGGCAAGATCAACGCGCTGTCTTGCGGGAACTGCGGGACGAGCACGACGCCGCTGTGGCGGCGCGACGACGTGGGGAACAACATTTGCAACGCGTGCGGTGAGTCTCCTGTCTACTATGCTATCTTTCCTTCCTTCTTTTCTTTTCTTTTCCTTTCTGTCCTTCTTCCTCGTTCTCCCATTGACGCTGCCGACCCCCACTTTCGCCTTCTTCCTTCTTTCCGTGAATGGAGACGCCGTACCGAGGCGCCTTCTCGATACTCCCGCTTCTTCCGTCTTTTCTTTCCCCATCCACCTGCCGCAGAAGCAGGAGAATCTCCCTCGATCTAACCCTCCATCTATCTATCCATCTATATCCCCGTCTCTGTTTTGGTCCCCTGTCGCGATGCCGCTAGGCGCCACGTTCCTCTTCTTTCTTCTTCGTCTTGGGTCTTGGGACTTGGCCCGCCGGTCCCGTCCATTCTTCCGTCCTTCTTTCTGTCTACCGATGCGACCGTC